CCCCCAGGCTATCACCTCGTCCTTGATCTCATCCACCCGAGGGAGCGCAGTAGCCGCTTTGGCTACTTTGCAGCCAATGACTGGCACCACCGTTCCGATCAGAGGCATGAAGGTCAGAAGCTCGGTCAAGAAACTGTGCGATGGGTGCGCCGTGGTGAGGAGAAAAGGCATGCTTTATGTCATTTGCAGCAAGGATCCCAAACACAAACAAGTGAGTGGAGTTTGGGACGTTTTGGGATGACAGGTGTATGCGTACGCATGGTCAAGGGTGGGATACGATCGTAGTGGTGGAAAGAGCTGGGGATGAAGTCTGTTTCAAACGCCCGTGATGGCCACACGCTTGTAGTTCGACAGCCCTGCTCTTGTTTCGCAAAAGCTGACGCCTCGGCTCCACATCTTCGCACCCGCACCTCGCCTATAATTTGCAGCGTCAAGGCTGAGCTGCCTGACAAAAAGTCCACTCACAGACGCTGCCGTTTCTGCACGAGTGAAGGCGCCTGTGTACCACAGGACGTCTCCCGCTCTCTCAACGCACGTTATCCGATGCCGCTTTTCCAGAACATTGCGCTCATCTTGGCTGCATCGCAATGCTTACTCCTCAGTCGTCACCCAGGTCTCGCCACAATGTTCGCGCTGCCTGTGTTAGTGTCAGTGCCTGACAGCAATGCCAAAACACCCCTGAGATACCTTGACATCCGTCTGAACAGGTGTGAAGCATTTGACATAACCGTCATACCAATTGCTGCTTTTCAGAGAGTACACATCTGCATTCTTGCGGGCCATCGCTGTTCTACAAACCCAAACGAATGCTCCCGATATCCTCAACCCCTTCTCAATCTCTCTGTCAGCGCTCGCTTTAATTGACGAGCGCATTGATCGCCAGCGCAGGAATGATGTTGGCGACAATGCTAAGTCGAGCTTGCTTGCCCTGGTCGACCTTCCATTACGATTACTTCTTCTTTGCAGTGCGCAGCTGTATCTTCTCCCCATTTACGTATATTCCTTTGCCCTGAAGCGCCGAGTAGAAGCAAGACAAATGAATGGGATATCTGATCAGATCGAGTGTTCCAAACATTCATGCGCATGCCGCCGACTTTTG